AGGCTTGCCATAAAATGAAGCCTGTCTGACAAGGATCCACATTTCTGTCAGTTGGTAACAAGGGTATTTTTGCTGACCTTTTAGCCAATATTTTTAGAAGAAGGGAAATTAAACATTAAGCATTTGTTTCTGAAATTCATTGAGTTAAGCAGTGCCTTTTTTTTTTCTTTTACATTGAAGCAGTAAATATTTAAGTATTTTTGTATCAGTATTAGATTATACATGGTTCTGAGTTATCCTGCTGCTGTCTGAACCCTGACTTAGTGATTTTCGTGTTGCTTGGTTTCCTGTCAGTACTGCCTGTAAAACCGAGGGGGATTTCTGGAGATGATTGTTTAATTTACCCATTTTCTGGAGAGCCATAAGCTTCTTTTGCCTGTTGGATATTCCCTTTGTGTATCTAGGCATTCCCTCATGGAAAGAAGTACAACTTTCTGACTTTCAGAGAAAGCGACCTGGGTGTTCAGGGTTATGGGGTGGAAAAGTTTGGTGGGCTGTGACTTTGCTGCTTTGTGGAAGAGAAGTCACAGCTCTGCCTTCTTTACTGGCCGTGACAGAGGTCTACAGTTGCTTATGGGACTTTGGGGATATGGTGAGGCCTTTTCTGTTGAATTTCTGTGTAATTCCAAACAGTGTGAACTTTTCAAATCGCTTGAGAAGTGCCCCAGATGGTGTGACATTCTGCTTCATGGGAAGATTTGAAAGTATTCCCTGTGCATAGTCTCTGGTTAACTATTTCATTGCGTTTGAAATGGGAGAACACCAAAGCCAAGAACTCTGTTGACATTTTGGTGGTGTTTGTTTAACCTCCTAGTGCACAGGCTACATTTGTTGAAAAATATTATTCTTACCTTTGCAAATCATCAGTAATTAATTCCCTTGGAAATATCTACTGCTGCACACAGCCAGCTTGGGAGGCTGCTGACAGATCACAGTTTTACATCAGGTGCTAACAAATTGATTATTAAATTTCATAACTAACTGATTTATAGCAACAATTTAATTTCTGTATCTCTCTAATGTATTCACTTACTGTATTTCCAGATAGTGCAGAGGATCTGGATTGCTTAGTTGCTTCTAATGCTGAATTGTGCACAGCATGTGAGATCTGAATGACTTCCCCAGTGCAAAGTATCACGGGCTTTGTGAAGTGCACAGAATATTAGCTGCATTTCAGCTCAGATAGTCACATTTAAGATTGTCCTGGCTGATTCTTTTAAACTTTCACTAAGCTATAGGTACACTTACCAGCACGGTGAGGCTTTTCTGGGATTGCTGGGTAGCCTGCAGTTGGAGCAGGCTGTTCCTGAGTCTCAGGAAGCAATGACTACCTGAAATAACGGGGCAGATCAGGTCCCAGTGCCACCTAAATGGCACTGGTAGCCCACATTAGCTGCCTTGGTGGGATGTAAGTCACTGCCTGAAGACATTTTAAGGAGACATAGAGGCAAAGTTTCATAACCCTCTGCAGGGTCCTAGCTGTAGCATTTCCAAAAATATCTCATGGGTGTCATGGTTAAAGGGAGCACTTGGTCATGTTGATAGCAGGAGTAAACACGATGGAAAATTTCCTTTGCTGCTGACATCCTTTGTTGGCCTTAGCCGTGCCTTTGATGTAGAATTACAAACTATTTTAAACCGAGGGGGGATTTTTTTTTTTTTTTTCCTTGGGCTCAGGAGAAAGCCTCACACAGATTGCAGCAATGTTTTTAATGAACTTGTGAAATCAAGGTCATAGTTCTGCTATCACTTGAAAATACTCCTGTCATAAAGCAAAGCTGCAGTGCCAGATGTGTGGTGTGAATTGTCACGTATCTTAAAAATTTTGTCCCTGCATAATGATACGTTCAGTGACACAGAGCTGTGCACCACTGAGATTAGAATCTGTCATCTGTGGCTGAAATTCATAACTGCACAGTGGCTGTTACCCAGGTAATCTCATTCATTTCCTGGTGTGCAAATGGCTGGGTCACAAAAACTTAGATGACAATTTTCAGTAATTGGACCTTTGTTAGCAGTCTGACGAGAGACACCGATAGCTTAATGGATGTGGATCCAAATCTGAGAGGTGGCTTTTTTCTGAGTGAAATGAAGCACAACATCAGTGTCTAGTCATACAACACTTTGCGTTTCTTTTCTGTGGAGTTATCTAGGAAAAAATCCTTTTGTATTTAGCATCTATTACTAATTAAAAATAAAGGACTTCTAATAGGGGATCTGATACAACTTTTCACTATGATAACTGTTTAAAATGTTTTTGTATTTATTTTTCTATTGCTTCACAGATTTTTTACAATAAAATATTGTAAATAATGTTAATTTTACAGTCTCTTAAATCTGATTTTACTTTTGCTTTGAAAAAAATGAGAAATGGGCTTTGAAAAATACAAATATCATAAAACGGACTGAAGCATAATTTTATTTCTTTTATAAAATCCAAATAAATTACCTAAAAATTAAAAAATGACTAAACTTTATAATTTTATAGTTCTAGAATCTTCTTTTAAATTAATTGAACTGACAGATTTAAGTATAAAGTGTGTATTTCCCTTCTGGTAGTTGTTGTGTAATTATTATTAATAATTAAGGATACTACAGTTTGGATAGGTAGAATATATGAATCCTTTCTGTCTGTGAGATGTTACTTCCTAGGGTACATAACGATTATCAAATAGAATGATGATATTTTAAAAAGTGTCATATTTGTTTTGGAAAGAATGGCGAATGTATTTTTGGTATTGATGCTGAATTCACGTGCTGCAGTTCTTATACAGGAGGCTCTTATACCAAAAATTGCATCTGTGTTGGAGAAACTTGTTCCTTTTTTCCCAGCAGATGTACAAATCTGTAAATTAATTCTTGCTGAAGCTTTTCATAAAGTCTCACAAGAGGTGATGAATCATCCAGAGTTCCATGCCCTCTAAAGCTTCAAGCAGCTTTGTTTTCTTCTTGGCAGATGCATCTCAAAAGAGGCAAATAAACTCTGGTTTAAATAATTTTGATTGAAAGTGCCTCAGAAGATCTGCTACCTTCTATAGAACATGATCCTGCAGAATTCAGTGAATATCCTGCTTCTGCTGTGTTGAGTGAGGCTGCAAAGATCAAAGAGCTGCCTTTTTTTTGCCATTTGATTTGAACAGAAAGAACTTTGCCTTTGTAAGGACAGTCCCTGTTTATCTTCAGTTTCTTTGGTGGGTGCAGTATGTATGCACAGATATTCTGTCTATGGGTGTCACTGCCCAAAAGGAAAATCAGAAAGCCAGCACTTCAGACACTGAGCTCTCAGAGAGCACAGATGTTTCACTCTGCTTCTGGAGCTTTTGCTTAAAATTTTCCAAGTAGGCAAAGGAACAGATAATTGATTGTTAACTTTTTATTGGAGCACACTACACTGGCAAGTTCCCAACAGGCTGGAAGTTAAAATTTATTTTAATAAGAAAATACAGCCTACTCCTTATGCCCATCCTTCTGCATTTCTTTCAGTATTCAGCTAAGGTGTGTTTGATTCCCCCTCAAATGTTTTTTTTTTGGAAAACTGAGCTATCAAAATCTGGTTCTTTGAAATGTACCTGAAGGAATATAATTACTTAGGTTGGTTTGACAACCTGGGGCTTCATGTTCCACACTATTTTCCAGAATTCTTTCTGCAGATGCTTGGAATTGCAGTATACGTGTCCTTCAATCGTGTGGGGAAAGGTTCTGACTCTGTGTCTGTATGTGTAAGGCTGTGAGGAGACATTTGAGAAGACAGAGATCAAGCAGTTATTTTTCCTAATTGTGCTTCATTTATTTCCTTCAGAATTAGAATTTATGCTGTGTGTTGATTTTGTCTCATGGGATTTTAGTAAAGACATAATAGGATGGAATAGGCTAAACAAATGTGACAGATCTTAATATTCTGGTGTTAGGACATCACAAGTGTTAGTGCAGGAATTTTTGGCTGTCATTATTTTGTGTGACTTTTCCAAATTTAATATAACCAGGGTGAGGGATGCCAGCTGCAGGCTCTCCAACCTGAGGTCCTCAGCTCAGGTAGAGCTTGCTGAGGTCTGCTGCATCAGGCTCTGACTCAAGGGCAAGAACACACTGTCAGTGCCAAGGTTTGCTCAGAGATGATGCAATCTAGCAAATGCAGATCCATCCCAGGTCCGAGGACCAGAGACTTTGCTGTGTTTCGTAAGAGTTTGGAAAAAGACAAGAAAGAACAGAAAGGGAGTTTGTCCTTGGCCTTGCTGTGGAGGTTGGGAAGGCTGCAAGGTGCAGTATCCTGAGATTACACTGGAGACCTCAAGGAATTTGAAGTTTTCTGGACCTGTTTTTTGAATGAGAGAGGTATGTGCCAGCCTAGGTTCTTTTCTAGCTTAGTTTGGTAGAATCTTACCCTTTCATTTCAAGTTCCTTTATCATGCCATTTCTATTTAAACTGGGTTAGGTGAGTTCAGTGAGGAAGGATTCTGTCTCAAGGATCTCATGTGTATATTGTATTCAGATTTTCCACTAAAGAATACAGCTTCTGGAAAATGTTTTTATTTTTCCATCTCAGTCTTGCATTTTTTAACAGCATACTTCATCAGCTGCAGAAGTATAAAATGTGTACATGTGCCCTTTTACATTGTGTCTTTATTTCTTAATCATTCATCCCCTACCAATTGTGCAGGTGTCATGTACCCCATACAGGAAAGTGGTAGGAGTTGCTCAGCCCCCAGGAAAAGTTTATTTTCTAAATGCTCCAGATGGAGAAAGTTTCCCAGTTGGCAATTGGGAAAGCAGTGATAGTGCTGTGTGGCATTTTGCCTTTTATTCTGCACCCTTTCTCCAAGGGTGTGTCACCGTGGGGCTCAGCTGGTCCCTGAGTGGGGCTGCTGGAAGCACCTGGAGTCAATCAGCTCCTTCCCAAAGAAACCAGCCAACCAAATCCCTCACACCAGCACCCTGTTCACAGATGGGTGTAATTACTCTTATTTAATTGAGATTTCTTTGTCCTCTTTTGGTTTTTTCAGGCCCCTCCACATCCTGATCTGCAATGCTGCTGTGTTTGGTGCTCCCTGGTCCTTGACAGAGGATGGCCTGGAGTCCACCTTCCAGGTGAACCACCTGGGACATTTCTATCTTGTCCAGCTTCTGGAAGATGTTCTACGCCAGTCGTCTCCTGCCAGGGTTGTCGTGGTGTCCTCTGAGTCCCACAGGTTGGTGAACGTTAACTTTAGTTTCGCTGGAATTGTTAATCCTTGGAGAATGAAACAGTTTGGGCAGAACCACAGAAGTTTCTGAAAATGAAGGTCTTTGCTCTCAAGCATTTGCCTTTGAATAATCTTTGTAAAAATAGAAGCATTACTAATGCCTGTGGATGTTTCTGGATTTGGCTCTGTTGCTGGATAAAGCCTTTTCTAGTTGTATAACAGTATGTAGATATTTTTTTGATCATTCTTTGTGTGAATGCAGATTTTCGCTGCGTTTCAGACCACTCATTGATTTTGTGAGGAGATGGAATAATAATTGATTAAATCTGAATGGCATGACCTATATTGATTTGTCATTCAACAACTTCAACATCTTAGCAAAAAGAATGTGCAGATATTTTAGCAGGAGAAACAATGCAATTAAAAACTGCTAGATGAAATCCAGTTGTTTTATAATGAGAAATGAGGGAATTCAATGCAGAAATTAGCTGTATAATTGTAAAATGGGAAGTAGTGTAGTTAATACATATTACAAATCTGGCTACATCTCTTTTGGTAAATTTTTTAATTAAAATGTTAGATGCTCATCTATTCTGCTGCCAGGAAAAGTGCAGTTGGTAAAAAAGATGTTGATGAGGTTTGCCTTATTTCAGATGTGCTTGTGTTTTTGTGTGAATAACTGAAAATATGGTTTTGATTTAAATAAAGTTCCTTGTGCAAAATGAATGCCCCAGTTCTCAAATTTACTGGGCACCAACCACTTACTCCTTGCTGATTCAATTCAAGAACTGCAGGATTAAGTCTATAACATCCAGCTTTAAACATTACTGTTGATTTCTATTTCACTTTTGGTCCTGTGCAGCAGCTCTAGCAAACTAAAAGGAAGAATGTGAGAGTGCCTTTTTTTTTTCCCTGTCTTCATATTTCAGAAATGTTTTAGTGACCCAGAAGGAAGCTTATTTTTTTTAATCATGTTTCCATAAAATGTAACCCCAGGGACCTGGTAGAGAGAGACCAGCCAAGGGTCGGGCTGAAACCTTTATCACTTCCAAACACAGGGGCTTATGGTATAAATGACACACTGCAGATAGATTTACTTTTACCATTTTAAATTTATGATGGCTGAAATGAAAGGAAGCAATAGAAAATGCCAGTAATAATCCTCCCCACTGTTAAAAGACATGAAATGTCTAGTAATTAGGTGGTAACAAAATCTGGACATCCTTATCTTTGCAAATCACACCAGGTTTGTGGAAGCAAGTAGCAGAGGCCTGTTAGGAGTGAGGGCAGCTACTGCAGGGCAGGCGAGATAGCTCTAGAAATAAATCTGCCAACTCCAATCACTTGCCAGATGTGGAGGGCACAATGGGATATGTATAAATGAGCTGTTATTTAATGGGAGATTATGTTGAATTGTCAGCTGCTTGTTCCCCCTTGTAAGTTTGTATCTCTGATAGTATTTTAAATGACATCTTTGTTTTTCACTGCATTAAGTGCTGTGTGTAACCAGGGCTCTCATCTCTGGACATCTTTATCTGTGTTTTTGAAACCATTTTGAAAGCGCTCATTGCCAAGTCAGAGAGAACAGCCAAGGTTGACAGAGGCCTATAAGGAAATAAGTAACAGTCTATGTTTGAATAAAATAATTAACACAACTAGTAAATTTCCTTTTTTTTAAGGAGGCCGGAGAATGTCTTGCAGCTTATCTTATCACTTAGACTGATCATTGTAAATAACTGTGCTTTCCCCAGCCCCCAGTCTGTTTAATGGGAAGAAGTTTATGTAAGGAGTTAGTTAGGTATTATTAGGTGGTCGTTCTTTCTGACCTACTTGAGAACTCTGAGCTGTAAACCATGTTGTAAAACAGAAGTGTTGGTATCTAATTACTTCCATAAACCTTGACTGGATCTTTTTGCTGGAGTCAAGACCCCCTGTTAGGGCAAAAATCAAGTCCCATGTTTACAGAAAATGCTATCCTGCACTGCTCCAAGGCAAAATATTTATTTGCCTCTTTGGCTCTTAGTTCATTTCTAGCTACATCTCTGGATTCAGCACAAATGAGTTCTGTTTAAATCAAGCTTTTGGGTACTTTAAGCCCATAATACTAAAATCAGAATAATAAGTAGGTTGACTTTCTTTCTGTCTTTATTTCTGTGTTGTTAACTTGATTGTACAGCCATTATTCCCCTGAATTCATTGAGATTGACTCACATAAGCACACTTGCAGGACTGGACTCAAAATATGCCACCGTGTTTCCTTTATACAGTAGTACACAAAGAGTTTTATTTATAGATTATTTTTGGTGTCATAAGTGATTACTTGTGGAATGAATATAGGAAATTCCTCCCAGAATAGTCCTGTAATTTCAGAAATGTATTTTATCCAATTGAAAATTATGAAAGAGAAATTTTGTTGTTGAAATTGAAGGGCTAATTGTGCAAGACACAGAGCATCCTGGATTCCTCTTGAGTTCAAATACTGCATTGCATTTCTCTGAGCGTATTATAACTCTGCTCACAGAATGAATGTAGAAATTCCAGCTGATCTCTTCATTTCTGGGCATGTGATGCAAAATTAGTAAAGATATTTTAAAACATTTTTCTAGTGTGTACTATAATTATGTTTATCCCTGTTCTCCCCAGCTGATTCTGAAAACTGAGTATTAAAAAGAGCTTGCTAAATCCTTTTTATTTTTAGTAGCTCCTCTGAATGAAACATAGATCTGTAACTAAATGTAGTATTATTTTCTAATATTTAGATATAAGTAAATTAATAAATGAAATTGTAAGAACTGGGAGGAGAAATGCTTTATGGAAATTTCCTTTTCTTCATCTAAATGTCTTTAGAACATTCACTACTTTGTTTCTTTCCTTTTTTTTTAATAACAAACAGCTGGTGTTTAATGACTCTGTCAGACCCAATTAAAAAACGTCAACTAGTTACTTTGATTTGTGTTCAGCCATGCCATGGGTATACTTAAAAACATTATGCTCTGCCAGAGCTCATTTTGGCTTTGTTTACATTTATCTTTTAAACATATAAGACTATTGATGGCAAGTTACCAAGGTTATAACCCCTTTATATTCATCAATTTTTAATCTAAAAAAGAGCTTAAGAGGCAGTGAGACTCATCCGTAGTTACTTGAACACTTAAATCCAAGTGTGCTCTGTGTGAGCACTGGATGAAATGAAATGATCAGGGGATGGGAAAAGAAAAGATGCTGGGTTGCTCTGCTTTTAGTTCAGAGTTATTTTATCCTACATTATTTCCTCCAAGCTGATCATGCTTTTATGGATATATGGCAAAATCTTTTTTTTTTTTTAAATTTAAAATAAAGTGATTTGTAAGTGACATACAATGTCTATAAACCATCAAAGTGTTTTCTGAGTTGTTTTTGTTTATTGTTTGCTGTTTATAATGATTCAATAATTTTACTGCCATATTATATGGGACTGTTCTTTGGGTTTCAGGCAATTTCCAGTAGATGCTTTCAGCTGCTAAATAAGCTGCTGTTTTATGTTAGTTCTGGCCAGGATCTACTCTGTTGTCTACATTTTATATTGTTCTTAATGAGAGTGAAATTAACTCTGGGGTATCTGAGGCATATTTACTGTTTCTCAGATTTACAGAAATTAAAGACTCCTCTGGAAAGCTTGATTTCAGCCTGCTTTCTCCACCCAAGAAGGAATATTGGGCTATGTTGGCCTACAACCGCTCCAAGCTTTGCAATATCCTGTTCTCCAACGAGCTGAACCGACGCCTCTCTCCCCACGGGGTGACATCCAACTCAGTCCATCCTGGAAATATGATTTATTCCTCCATTCATCGCAATTGGTGGCTGTACACTCTGCTGTTCACCTTGGCTCGACCTTTCACCAAGTCCATGGTAAGTGAATGCCATAAACCATTTTGTGCATCTCCATTTTTTCAAATCGGGGCAGAAGAGTTGTGAAAATCCAGCTGTTTCTATCTACCTCTTGCCTTTTATAACCCCAGTCCTGATTTTAATGGCAAAAATCCTGCCAAGACAGTGCTCTAGAAGAGAATTTTTCAACCACCTGAGATTTACTTTGTCAGTCTTCTGTTAAGAAACCTTCTAAGATGGAGTGCATGACCTTGTTTGCATATATGATTTTCATTGTGTTTAAGTACATCCTATGTCTTAGGTGTGGGATAGTTTAGAGTTATTTCTGTGCTCAGGATACATAAAACATCAAAAAAATTGCTTTGGCTTTTAAGTGGGATATGTTGACTGCATTTTTTATGTAAACAGATGCCCTAGTTAGAAAAGATACTACAGACGTTATTAATGGCTGAGGGAAAGTGCTTTCAGTGGTAAAAGCACCTTCATTCATATTTAAAAAAAAGCAACAACCCAACAATTTTCTTGATTTTTACGAAGTGCTGAAGACAATGGGTGTTTTCCATTTGTCTCCATTGGGTTTTGGACTAGAACCATGACATAATGAAAGGCTTTGCAGTTCTTCATTGCCAAGGTTATGAGTCTTTATTATGTAAGAATTTGCAGCACCTCCAGCACTTGGAGTGGTTACTTTGATGCTTTGAACCACTGAGCCAATTATTTATTAATAGTCCAAAGTATTTTTTAGGCAGAGAATGACATTTACTTCATTGAGAACTGGCTTTCTTTAACCTTTAGGCCGTTTTTCATTCCTTTTTCACTGACCAAGAAGGGTGTTCCCAAAAAGAGGAGCAGGGAGAAGGAGTCTTCCTTGAATGTTTGCTTCTATGAATCAGGAAAATGAAAAGATCCATATCCCTTCAGAATCTTAATTTATACTGGGATTACATGTGTGGAAAACAGAGGGTGTTTAAAAATCTGATTATGTGTCCATAAAAGAAAAATACTGGATCTTCAGTAAGGCCGTGGAGAAAAATTGTAAATACTTCAGTGTTGACCAGGTGTCATTCAGGAGAGCCCTCACACCTCCAACCTCTGGCTGTATTTTGCAGCCTGTACATATGCAAAGCTTATTTATGTCCACAAGATTGATACTTGAGTGCTCTGGCACCTTGGGACGAGTAATAATATCTTTCAACAGCATGGTTTTTTGACCAGGACCTATAAAACCAGGTCTCTGCTGTGTTAGGGATTGTTTGTAAAACAAATTCCTAAGTTCTCCTGAGAATGTGTAAGTGAATGTTATCAAAACCCTGTGAAAAGGATCCAGTCTGTGGATGTTTATGAATTGTTAGTTTTATTTACTCTGACATATTTTCATAAATGGAACCTTTTGTGTTTGTTGCTCAGGGAATCTCATCCTCTAAGTAACAAAATAAAACACTGATGTTAATTTTGAATTCTTTAAAATAATTTATAGATTTTTAAATAGTGTCTATTAATGGTTATTACATATAAGAATACAAAATACAGGACAAACCTATCAGCACTCAATAACAGTGGACTCTGGTCTAACCCAAATAATTTCTGTAAGTCCTTCATGTTTGTATTTCACTGAGGTTATTTGAATGTCGTGATGGAGGGTACGAGCTGAGGTTAAGCATCAGTTTTACAATTCATATTCTGATATGGATTATGTTCCCCTGAACTCTACCAATGTTTCAACAGCCAGTAAAACTAGAAAAGTGCCCCTTCCTGGGTTTGCAAACAAGCTGAGCTGAAATTCTCAGCATCATCAGTGTAAGAGGTTCTATTTTAAGGCTTGTAGGGAGCAAATGATTTGCTGCTGCTGCTTCTTTTTTAGGGATTGTGCTGTTATCAACCAGTATAGACTTTGTTGGGGATCTTTTTCTGGGTTTCCTTTCCTTGTTTCTGTGGCAGCTCACCCTGGAGTTAGGATGAGTGTTTTGGTGAGAATGTTGGGAGTGATCTCAAAGCTTTACAGCTGCAGTCCTAAGGTGGTGAGCTGCTCGTCCCTGAGCTGTCCAAGGATGTCTGCATTGCACAATGCAGCATGATGCAGCAGCATTTAAAGCCGCTCCAGCTGAGCTGGGCCCATCACTGGAGCTGATTTTGGAGACAAGGTTGTGTGGGCAGAGGGGAGGTTGGGCAGCCCAGGAGCCACACAGAAATGCCTGGACCTGTTTTGGTCTCTGAGACAGTAGCTTCACCTGCTGCAGAGTTTTGGTGTGTGGAGAGGCCAATCCTTCCTGGAGCCACTTTGAAACTGTTTGCTATGTCTTCATCTGTTGGGCTCCTGGAGTCTTATGTTCATATATCTCTGTGTGTATATATATATATATGCGCACACAGAAACTGCAGCTGCACATACCTGATTCTAAGGCCTTTTTGTATTATTGTGGTATTCAGGAAATAGTTTGAAGTAGAGCAATGGAAACTGAAGACTATTCTTTCCTTTCCCATCAAAATATAAAATTCACAAAGATTTCTACACAGAAATTTAGAAGTATTTTGTAGAAAGAAATAGTTGCCAATGAATTGCCATTTTATTGTTGAAGTAACTGTAGCTCTACTAATGTTAAAAGGGCTCTTGTTTACTTACCACTAAATAGTTACACAGTGAGTTGGAGATGCTTGGATTATAATTAAAATTGAAACAAGTGGCCACTGTAAAAAAAGAAATGGGAAGAGAAACTCTGAAGGTAACTTTGTAGGCCATGGTTATATTTAGCTGGTTTGATCTAAGGCTCTAGGGTTTTGAGGTTTTTCTTCTTTCTACCTCTTTTACTCTCTTCTCTCTTTCCCTCTCTCTTCAAAAACTGACTTGAGAAGTTTGAGGGTTTGTTTTTGTTTTAAATAAATGCTAGTCATTCAGAACCCATCTGATGTGTCATTATTTACATACAAGACTAAAGTTAAATACATTTATTGTAAGTTTTGAGCTTACACTGAGTGTGGTATCTGGTGTCACCCCCAGGTGATTTTCGGTGTACAAGGGCATATAAAATTATAAGCAGAGTGCCATTATCACACACTTGTAATAGTCTTACATAGACCCAAATATTTTTGTTGGCAGGTAACAGAGCAGAAAGAATATCATGTGTTAGAGTAGCAAGAGCTTAACAGATGTTTCAGTGAGCTACATTTTCAAATCCTTTTACATTAAGAAATAGCTGGGGTTTGGGGAAGTTCTGAGACTATTGGGTTACATTTCCTGTTGCAGTGCAAAGCCAGCCATTGTGTTGGAGTTTTAGCAGATGTGTAAACCCATTTTAATGGCTGGGAGTAAAACATTGGTTCTTTTGCTGAGATATCAATTACATTTATAAAAGCTCAACTTGTCACATTTAAAAGCATTTAGAAGTAGTAAGACAACTCTGCCCTTAATTTTTCACTGTGTAAGAGACTGATACTTGAAGGGCTCTTTGATTTCTTCCTTCTCCCCCAAAGATAGTAATTTCCCAGAACTGAATTTTGTATTTAAAGTATTGCTGTTGAGAATTATAAGGAGCATTTCAAAGGGCCCCAAACTCTTCTACATGTCTAATTTTTATATAAACCCATGAATTCTTGTCAGTGGGGTATTTTCCCAGGGCTGTTTAAGGCAGTAGCCCTGTATTGCAGTGTTCATACAGGCAGGAGGAAACCCCAGTGCCTAAAATGGCTTCACTGGCTTTGCTTTTGCCGTATGTTGGAAGTGTCTGAATTTAAATTTCATGTCATGATTTCCATGCACATCTAACATCAACTCAGAAATGTTATTCTGGCAAGAAATCAATCTGCATCTACAGGAGTGACTGCAACCTAATGATCACATCTGTTTGCTTTTGATAGAAGCCCAAAAGAGGCCCTGCAGCCTCATCACCTCTTTGCTTTCTCCCGTCCTTTGCTGAAGGAGCTGGAATTACCCTTAGAGCTGGGGATAAAATTCCCACTCCAAGCAAACATTTTTTGCTGTCCAAAGATCCGTGTGGGCTGTGTTGAGTTGATGTTGGCTTCCAGTTCTGAATTCACAGTTGAGGCCAAATTCTGCCCTCAGCTGTGCCTGCTCAGCCCAGGAGCAGCCTGAGCAGGGTGGGTATGAGCGTGTTCCTGCACAGAATTTGGCCTCTCTTTCCTTCCTTAAGACACTGCTGGAAACACACTGGGGTTTCTTGAAAAGCAAGAGGCAGCTCTTTTTGGAAAGAGCCTCACAGTTCAGGTTTGATCAAAATGAGTTTCTTTTCTCAGCTGAGTTCTGGGCAGGAAGTGAAAGAGGATGGGAGAGTGAAAGGGAAATAGTCACCTACTGGATATTAGCGGCTGTAGTGGGTGAATAAATCACATGAACAGTTCTCCTGGTTTATGGATTAATGCCTGAAGTGTAAATGTTCAAGTGATGCTAAGCCACAGCTCTCCTTTTTAACATGCAGGTTTGTGGACCTTACCTCCAGTACCATGGAGGGGAAAATATTTTATTGAGCTCTGATTGTTTCCTTTCACAAAACTCCTATTTAAAATTGACTGAATTGGGTAAAAGGAAAGAAGGCTTATGTGGAAGAACATTTTGATTTGTTGTAATAGGATGGTAAAGAGATGCCTCCAAAGTAGTTGTTGATCATTCTGTGTGTCCTACCCAGCAATAAAATGTAATATAAGCTAGTTTATTATCAAACTTACATTTAACTGATACATACTTTAACTTGCTGCTAAAATAAATGTAGCATGAAATGTAAGGGCAAATTAAATTTGTCCCCTGTAACCTACACCACGGGAATGGAAAGTCTCTATGGAAACTTATCCCTGTGCCAAAGTGAACGGGTCAGGACTGCAGTGACCAGAGTGGTGCTCAAGGCCAGCAGCGGCCACAGAATTTTCTATGTCCAGCATGTCCCCATAGCTGTTTGGGGAGCAGCTCTGTTTTTGTCCTGTAATTTCATGGAGGAAATAAGGAATTTCTTCTTCTCCCTGCCAGATCCTTGCAGAATTTCAGCAGTCTTTGTCAAGTATGTGGGCTGAAAGGC